TAGGGGAAGAGAAAAGAGAGAAAACATACCAAATCAATTTTTATTTAACTGCTAAAACTACTATGGTCGTCCTAGTTGAGGACATTATTTCGGATTGCTCTGTTATCAAGAGTGATTTTACAGTCTGAACTCTATCATGCGCTCTAAAGAATCCTCTAACAACTGTTGAAAAGCTTCATAGCTACACACAAGCTCCTTATTTCTAGCAGAAAAGAAAGGCACAGCCACTGAATACTACCTGCAGAATTCCTCATGGTCTATGTGACTTGTCCAGTATTTACTTATGAAACTCAACTTCCGGAAAAAAACTGTCCTGTAACTTTGCAGTATATAAACCCTTCCCCAAGAACAAGTTTGTGAGCAATGCGCAATGTAATTATATTGAGAAAGAAAGCTACGTCATCCATCCTAGCATGCCTTCTTAATGCCAGCAGCGCCCAATCTATGATTTTTGCCATGACTGACAATTAGAAAAAAGCACAATTGAATTTATATTCTTAAAACTATTTTTATGGTAGAACACTGCTGAAATCAGACTACCTTTGAACAAAGTGTTTAACTTCAAAAGTTCTCTTTCAACTCCCCAAACACATATTAAAGTTTAATTCAGAAATTTGTACTAGATAGTACAGATCTTGCACTCTTGAGAACAAAACAATTGCATTTGAGGATAAAAAAGATTATTCTCACACAAATAAGGCTGTCATACAGAATGACTAGAAAGTCTAGATTGTTTGTTTTGTGCACTCACCAGCAGCATAGCTATGCTATTTATTTTGTCTTTGAAATAGAAAGGGAAGTACCAAGACAAGTAGCATCAGTGGAGAACGCACACACTGTACCCATGTCAGTCCTGAACATAAAATCTCCACGCACATTTCATTTGCCCTCTGAAGTGAGGTAGAGCTACAGTTCTTTCTTTGAGCAAAAACCTCCCAAGACCACAGTATCAGGAAGAAAAAGCATTTTCCCACAGACCAATAGATGGAATTTTCTAATTACCAATTAGTTATACAGCTGTAAACCCAAAAACCTGCATGCACATGTATAGACGCATCAGCCCAAAATTCAGGTGTTGTTTCTTTACATCAGCTACTCCATCAAATAAGACGCTGTGCGCCACAGATGGTCCACCACCACCACCAGAGAGCACCAAAGGCACGAGCTGGTGTGTAACCAACAGTCTCTCTGTCTAAATCAAAACTGGTTAACCTTTCTGAAACCGTGAGCTGGGTATCAATGCCATCTTCCCAGCCCAGATGAATCACTCTGAGCTGCAAGATTACAGCAGTGCTGTTTGGCATTCAGGAGGACCAGCAGATTCCACAGTTTGGAGGCTGCCTGCCAAACAGCTTCACTGTATATGCAAGTTTTGACCCTCTATGTCACTTCATAATACAGTTTGCAAGGCCCTAAACAAGGACAAACTACAAAAACAGCTGTATTGTTTGGAGAACGAATGTTTCTTGTTTTGAAATTCAAGCTTGATCCAAAGCTATTTAAGTCAATGCAAATGGTCAGGGATTTACCTCCCTTCCCAAATGCTGTCTACTTGGGAGAAGAGATGAAGAGCAAAAAATATCCCCTCTTGCCTGGAAGAGTCGGCTTTGGGAATAAAGTGAGACGTCTACATATATTACACCAGATTTCTTTGATGGTGTCAGTGTGGACACACACCATCATGCACAGTCATTCCTACAGCTGTAGTCTTGGCAGCAGTTTGCCCATACAACCAGTTAAAAGCTTTTGCAAGACTCGAGTTGACCGGTACCCTGGGGATGGATGGAGTTTTGCCAAAGTCTCTGCCCAACCTCCACATTCACTCACCCGTCCCCCCTCCACACAGACACATGTATTGCCTTACCTGAGAACTGCCACTGAAGCCTGGAGGCTGGCTATACTCCGTGGAGTCAATAATACTACTGCAAAACCAAAAGAAATAGTCTGCTTAAATCATTGTACAAACACCCTTTATCATTTTTAACCTGTTTGCTATTCCCCGCCCTTTACATCCTGCAGCATACTTGCCTTTGAAATTCGTTTTACAGACAGGGAACACAAGGTTATTTTTTGTTTGGGGGTTTGGGAGGGATTTTTTTTTTTTTTAAATACAGGGATCTCCTACAGCAGGATGCTGTCACACACAATTACGTGTAGTGCAATCTACTAATTTCTAATTAGAATGCAAAAGCGTATCTTTTGTACAAAATACACAGGATAAGACATTCTGAAAATAACATGCTACCATTGGTTTTTAGTTCTTATAAAAAAAAAAAACCCAAAAGACACCAAAACATTTGAAACACTGAAAAGAAAAGCTAGAGAAATCAGCTTAAGACAGACTAATATTCCAGACATCTCTGAAGACACACGAAACACACACGGTCATGAAATGCAGAAATAAACTAAAAAAACAATACTGACAGGATTACTATTATTCAAAAATGCGCTACCATATATAGTTACATAGTATCTATAATGACACAACATACTTTAAATCATTGTTTTCAAAACATAGCATACATATGCAAACTCAAGAGATTTAACTTTCAAAACTGCAAAAGGATTTACTGATATAAGGAGGAATCAGGTGGTTCAGTACTCTTGCACATACGGGCAAAAGGCAAAATATTTCGCTTCCACAATAAGACACCAGAACCAGGTTAAAGCACCCTTATCACTCCAATTTAAAAGACTTTTAGGACAAGAAAAAGTTAGTATACAAGAACACCATCTTATTAAATACAGAGAATGGATAAAAAACTTCACAATGATTTGTTTCTAAAAGTCTTTAACTGGCTTCTATGTCATTTGGCTTGGACAGAAAAGAAACTATCCGTGTTTGTTATCCTCAGTCTTACTTATGAGGTAACCTTAGATTTAAGCATTGCTTGGGAAAGCTGAAGGTTTCTTTAAAGAGCTGCCAGAACACTGCTATAGGTCCTGGTTTTGTAAAAGATGATCGTAGCTACTGACGCTTATGTTAAGAGGTGCCAGAACTGATGCGTAGACTTGACATTCTTGGTCATAAAACAAGTGGTTTGGCTGAAATGCTGGTCAGGGCACCTGTAAGTCTAGGAGGATTAAACAGTGGTACTAGTGCTTAAATATTTCTCTGAATGTTTTAAAGCTCCCCTGGAGGTAGAAAGAAGTAGAAATAGAAGATGAGAGATGATTTTAAAGCCTCATAAGTGGTTAACTTGTAAGATGAGATTGATTCGGCTTCTGTTACAGGCAAGACAAAAGCTGCAAACCAAGAAAATCTGAGGGATAAAAAAACAAAAATCATTATTTGCTGCAAGCTATTGCAAGGGAAAAAAACAGCAGACCTGTTCCAGGCATGGTCAGGGACAATGAACTTTAAATTAGAACGTGGCCACATGAAATAATGCAACATGTACGGCAGATCCTGCCAGGAACAGCATGAACAAGACGCTCAGCTGGAAAGCAATGAAAAAGTACTCCACTTCAAGACAGGTATAGTGGCAATTAACAGCAAACCACGCAGACTTAGAGCGTCTGGTCTCGTTTTGCTGCAGGTTGTCTGGTGATGTAAAGCCTTCGAGAGTGCAGACGTCATCTCCCTAACCAGAATACAAATTCAGAGTCATTTCTGTGCAGTGCCCGTAGCTGAGTTAACTGACATTTACTTGAACGTTTTCCCTTTTAAAAACAGGACACAAATCATCAGAAAGTTACAAAAGTTCCCTCTGAATTCTTTGTAAAAAGCTGTAACATTAGGTTCAATTAGGAAATTCAGCTACACTAACCCAACATTTAAAAATCTGGAACAACAACAACAAAAACGCAGCAACCCGCAGACTATAAACCCCATTTGTTATACCCTTACGGGGGTGTGAGAGGGTAATTAGAACAAATGGAAGGGAAGGAGACCAGGTTTTCAATAACTGAATCAGAGTTACCAGGCAACTGATTTTTAGATCAGAATCTTTCCCCAGAAACTCCTATTAGAGTGATAGTTTGTTGTTGCTGTTACCGCCTGAATATGCGGTCGTGGAGAAGTCGCTTATTTGTATCTCCTGTTTGCACCACTTACTGGTAGCAAAAATAGCACGTGCGCCTGTTCAGAAAAACCCTACGCAGAACTATTCGTTCTTTTCCCTTATTCTTCCTCTCTATTAGTATACAAGCCCAGCAATCTGCAATGCTGTAAACAAGTGCCGTGTTATTACCCAATTTAATATTTCATCATGCCCTGTACAAGTACAAGAGAAAACACGTGTTTCTTGAAGCCGAGGACACATTGAACACGATAGCTGTACTTGGTTTTTTTGCTAAAGAACTTATGAAGAAGATAGGGGAGACACAGTAATTTCACATTTTGAAGATGTTGGGGGGGGGGAAGCTACAAGCAATTAAAAGAAACAGAATTAATGAAGCAAGCCTGTGATTTAGAGGAAGTAGATGAATAAGGGCAAGTCACTAGAGGCTAGATAAAACTGAATTCTAAAGAACTCTGTTTTCTTGAACTTTAAATTCAAAGGCTAAAGAGATTTTCTTCATCTCAGCACAGGTCTATGATAACCTTGTACTATTTATAAGACATAGTAAAATATTATACAATTATATTTCATTAGCAAGGTGTTAAGCATGTTAACAAGTTATATTCCAATTTAAAGATACCATTTTAATTCACCGATGATTTAAAAGGTCTCTGCAAGTTTGATAACATTTTAGCATGGATGTGAAACCATCTCAAACTATATTTTTATTTCATTCTTAGTGGTTCACAGCATCTCTAAAGTGCATTTTAGAGATTAAATATTTCAGTTAACGGAGCTAAAAATAAATCAGTGTATTTTACAGTTGTTCTGTAGCATTCTTTCCAAGGAGGCATTAAATTTACAGTTTTTGAGATACTTTCCAAAACCCTACATTTAATGTTGAAAAGAAAATTAATTTCACGTGGTAGACCCTTCTGGAATCTGAGTTCTCATAATCCAAACCAATTCAATTACTTTAATTACACAAAACTGTCAGGATAGGGTGGGGACAGGAGTTACAAGAGTCCAGCAACAACCAATGCCTGTTCAGCTACTTCCTTCACATACTATATTCTCTTTGGCCACTCAAGACTACCTCTTAATAGAAGAATGTCCCTGAGAAACAGAAAAGCGGTCTTCTCAAGCTGAGAGGAAAAAGGCAAACTCACATACCCTAGGAAACCCTTAAATATCCTATTCTATCCCACCTCTGGCATGTTGTACCAGAGGAAAAACCCAAAAGCTCAAGAGAGTCGAGATGGATCCAGCCAAGTGTAGAGAAGATTGGGCAAGAGAGCGCCCATAGTGCCTGCACCTGCCATGGTCTAACCCACTGCCATCTCCCAGCAGACCTCAGATGAAGCATGTCAATCCTGAGTCACTAAAATATTTTGGACACTATCTTCTACCTTCAAATGCAAGGAGTGAGAATGATGGACCCTACGATGTGAAATAAACAGGCATAAAGGAATAGTAAGAAATTCTCAGTAGACTGAAACCAGTGTAGGTCTCCCAGAGCAGATTTTTTTTTCCTCCCAACTCTTTCACCAGAACTCTTGGGCTTAAAATGTTAGTCCAGCTTTCAATCTTTGGGAGCTTGTTTGTTAGCTTGGCTCAAGTAATAGAAACACATTTCTACTCGTAGGTACAATCTTCTGTAAAAATAAAGGTTTCTAGGCCTGAAGGTGTTCAACATGTAACAAATTCAGCCCAACCAGTGCTCAAGTTTTCCCCAAGCAGCAGTACCACAAAGCAAACAGCAAGCAATCTATTTAATAGCCAATAACGAAAACTAGTAGAACCTGACAAGAATCTCATCAGCTTCACAAAACTGCTGCTTGGCAAAACAGCAAAAACCCACATCAAAAACACACCTGCACCCAAAAAAAATTAAACAAGCAGTGAAGAGTAGAGTAAGAAATGCTGTTCCCATCCATCTTGGCCACATTCCTGTCTTCTCCCTCAGGGCCAGCCAGAGCTTCATAGAAATATGAGAGATTCTGGTCTCAGTGTCCAGAAATAGCATCTTGGTAAGAAATACTAGCCAGTATTACTAGGCTCCTTACCAGAGCACTGTATCTAAGTCTCTGTAGGGGAGGAAATATGATCATTTTTTCTTACTTCTGTGCTATTAGGTTTAGAGCTGCTAACTGCAGAAAAGGTACCAATACAATTTTGTAACAGAAGACAACAGTTTAGAAAACTCTACTATTAAGAGGTAGGAGACACAATCATTTAATACCATAACTTGGCCCTGTGAAGCCTGAACTTTCTTATAACCAAAAAACCACAGCTATAAAGAAGTAGAGCACTTCAAACCCTGGCACATGCAACTGGGACACAAGAAGCATCTGCAATTTTATCGTTCAGAAACCAGACTATGCAATATTCCAGGCAAAAATCCACGCTGAAAATGTTATTAGAAAGGTATTTCATTAAATCAAAACAGACAGCAGATAAACAGAATCAATAGGCTGTACATTTTAAATTTTGATCCTGTGAGCCCATACTTTTAACCATTCACACTGAGTGGGGAAGCCAGAGGACACCCATATCATACAAAATGAAGACTTTTATGCGCCATGCAGAACTGCATAACATTCAGAAAAGGTAGTATGTATTTAACAGTAATATTTCATACCATAGAAAAGGCTTGTGACTCAAGTTAACTACTCCACACTACATTTAAAACCATCAGCTTTCCACAGCATCTGGTTGAGAGTAGACTTCATCCAACTGCAGACTCAGATGGCTTTTCTTCACTGCATTGTTCAAAGTTCATACCAATCAAAAACAGAAACAGGAAAATATTGTACAGCACTCAAAAACTAGTTTTGCTTGTGTTCTGGGCATGGCATGGAGGAGACAAGCAAGTACAGTGCAATATGTACAGCTTGAAATCCAAGTTCTGAGTTGCAAGCTCCATACCTGTGTGAAGGTGAGGGAGCTTCAAACTGCGGCACCGTACTGTCCTCACTGACTGGGGAGTACAAGCCACTCATTTCCTGAAACAGAAAGCCATGTTACAGCAAAGCTGACAAAACATGAATAGTAGGCACCTTCTAATACATGGTGTTCACACAGTAATTTTTTGTTTTTCCAAGCACATAACCCACTGTATCTACATTCAACTTTCTCCTAGAAGTCTTTACTATACCTAAAGAAACATTCATTTTCTTAAATTTTTTTCCAGTTATCACTGCAGCTGGGTTTCAGAAATCCTACAGCTGCAGTGCTTTTTGCCCGAAGAGAGACAGTTCTGGAGTTTATACTCCAAAAATCAATGGATTTGGTTACTATACGATTGTCTCTAACCCAGCATGTCCCTTAAACATGGCAGAACTAGCAAGCTGTAATTGCAATTTTGAGAAACATGCAAGCTTTTATCTAACAGCTGGAAAGTAATGCTGGATATGGGTCATGGCAAGAACAGCCACAAGATGACAGGGCAAAGCTGGTATTGTGACCCAGACCTAAAACAGGATCTATCTGTCTTCTGTGTGACAAATGCATAAGAGACAAACTTTGCACATAAGCTTGGCTTTGCTGCTGCCAGACTAAATCACTGCTGAGTACCCAGTATGAGACTGTACCTTTCATCTGTTTGAGAAATGGAAGCTATACAGGAGGGGTAAAGTGTTGCAGGACAACGTTTCTGGTGCGTTTCAAATTCCCAATAGGTGCCCATTAGTTGTTAGGTAGAAAGTAGGGTACTTGTGACAAGAGAGATCCCAGGCTTTAGAGGTCAGAGCCAAGGTCACTATCACACACCAGATATGTACCTCAGCTGCATTCTTCTGAAGTGCCTGATTAAAGAGCAGAAAAGCAGGTAGCTAGATATCTCCGAGGGATCCCACAGCTTTGGGAATAGCTTCTCCTAGATCTGAAGACCTATTTTACCAGTCCCAATGAAGCATGCTAAGGTGTACTTATTTCCCAAGAGCTATTTATTTCCCAAGAGCTTAGAAACATTTAGGGAAACAGGTCTGAAAAATGCTGTTAGCTACCAAGTTACAATTTGCATAGCTATCAGCTGAAGGGAAGTTCCTGCAGTTGTCAATTCTATTTATATTTTGATAATTCATTCGTATGTGTATAAATTGAAGAAACCTAAAAGGCTTTTGGACAGTGGTTGGGAGCTCCTGCTGACTGCAAGACAAGCAAGGAGAAGCAGACCTGCAAACTGATTCCAAAAAAGCTTTAAGGGAATGCTATTTTGAGAGGTGGCAGTTTGATGCATTCCTGAAACATCAGTTTCCTACTCTGAGATAAAAACACTAGAATGATTAGAGGAATGGACCAAGGAGGAACCTAGGAACTCAGTAAGGACAGAAGGATTGAGGTGAAGGGTTTACAAATACTTGTAGAATAATTCTTAACTAAAATCTCAAGAGATCCCCATCATTAAGGAATTAGGATAATTATATCAGGAGGTAGCAGATCGCTTCTGTTTTGACATGCAGCAGAAGCTGATACAGCTCCTACCCAGTCTCTGTATTACACCTCTCTTGTGCACCCCCAATACCTCTCCATTTTAAGAGAAGCATGCTGCTAAGATTTAAATGGCATGTGAAAATAGCCAGAACACTGCAGTAGACAAAAATCTTAAGTTATGATCAATATACTGGCTGCTGATTTCTAGCAATTATTCTAAAATACTTAATACCAACACAAAGAAATTGAAATAAATTATTATATAAGAACTAGGTTTCAATAAAGACCCCTCTTACCAACCTGCAGCTTGCAGACATCAACGAAATGAACAACTTAAAGACCATCATCTGTTCATTTTCCCATTACTGACTCAAATGCCATAAATTTAACACAGCAGCCCCACAGCAAGGCTCAATGATAATGAAAAATTGCCAGAGCCAGAACAATGTCTGGGCATCTCACCTCTACTCGTTTAATATCTTCTTCCAGAACACTTAGCTCCTTCTGGATCTGCTCCAATTGCTGTGGATAAGAGAATGGGAGAAGTCTAAATCAATCTGCACTGCACCACCAACAAGATAAGTTACAATCTTTTCAGAAAGGAACCTGAACTATCTGAACTGGCATGCTACACAATTGAAAAGTCACTAGACAGGAAGTTCATATGCATAGATTAACATAAGTGTGCACACAAACCACATTCAAGACAGTTGTTATTGTGAAACAATACAAAAAATGAGCATACGGTACTTTGGCATCAATCACAGAGACCCACATTATTCAAACTACCACTTTTGCGCTCCTCTAACATTTTCCATGCAAGGTATAACCGGTTTAGAAACACTGAACGTAATTAGGAAAGAACCACCACAAACAAGACAGTGATCATTTCACCCTTCAACAAAACACAAAATACTTTGCTAAAAGGTGTTAAGAGTATTTCTCTTCCTGGCAGTTAACCTGCCAACTGCCAATTTAAAGTTACTGGCAAAATTTTCAGATGGGCAAACATCTCTTATGACCAGAAAATTTGCTCCTGGCACCAAGCAAGCACCACATGGCATTTCTTTCAAAGGTGTGATACTTTCCTCAGATTATACCAAAAACTCCAGTCAATCTGAGGGCTATCCCTGAAAGGGTCAGAAGGGGACCTCCCCTCTCACCAGCCAACATTCCCTTTCCCTTGTGTCACACATAGTATTTTCCAGGTTTTTGCAGTTACTTCTCAATCAATCAGTAACCTGGCTTCATGCATCTCTAGCAACTGTGAAGCCACAGCCTTGGTGATTGTGTACGCCTAAGCAAGAGCATCATCTGCTTACCGGCTCTAATTCCCACCCTCACTCAGCAGATGTCCCATCCCAACACCCACGCAAACTATACCCAGCCTTGCAAGACTCAAACACATGCACTTATCTAGGTGACAGCTCCACGTCTGGACCTAATCGGACAAAACTCAGCTCCAATGGAAGTCTGGTTCACTAAGACACACAAGTATAATGAATACACTGAGAATTGGCTCTCTGCACTCACAGTACAAATCCACAGACTACTAGCACTGTGGCATGCGACCAAAAGCTGTTACCAAATTGACAAGTCCACTGAAAGCTTATTAAGCAGAACACATTCTCTAAAGGCCAGACAAATTTTTGTCATTTTGAATTTACAAGGGAATACCAAATTGCCCAAATCCGAAGTTACTAGTATTGAAAGACATACTACTCTTAGTATGACGTATTCCCAAGAACATTTGGCAAGCTATTCCCAAAGACTTACTCCCTTGAGTGCTTAAGCTTGATCCTTTAAGTAGCAGAAAGTTTTGCTTAAACAAAAACACACCCACCACTTAAACCCCTATTATTGATCAGCATTCCAAATATGTGTGCTCAATGTCAGATAATCCACCATTTTAATTTACCTTTTCAATGTTAATAAACCTTTTGTCCCTGAAGACAGGAAAGGACTGCTGGGTCCACACCTACTTCTAACATGGCTGCTTCTTCCTTGGAATGAGCTGAGATTGTATTTATATCCTAATCTCTCTACTCTGAAGGTTTCAGTTTATATTTGAGTCACAGACAGCACAAGTTTAATGGCTTAAAACTAGACTGCCACAGATAATTTACAAACCACTACACCATAACAGATAATTCCATTTTCACTTGCGAAACCTACAGCAAGAATAGCAGGTGGTGCTATAGCTCAAAGATTAGTGGTAAAGTTAAGTGACACTTGCACAGCACGGGTCCTGCCTGCACTCAGCGCTGGCAGACAAATACCGTTAGTCTCCCACTTTCATAAATCTCATTTAAAAAGAAGTTACAAAACCACTCCGAAGTTCCAAAATTACAGCAAGGAAGTCAGCTATGCTACAATGTGCTGGCTCACAGCCAAACTGGACAACTGAAAAATAATTGACGGTTGTTGCCATCACATAAACAGGAGACCTTTTTATAGGAACAAGAACAGAGACTTCTGTTTATTGGCCAATTTTATTAACTACTGCACAGAGTCCAAAGTACGAGATCTGGAACTTCTTTACTAATTCTTCCTTCGAACCCATCATAAACTTATCTGATAGTAGCAAATCTAAAAATTAGGCAAATGTGTTTCATGCTTATTTTAGGAAGATTCATCTCATACCATCAGCAGAGTTACTAATGCGCACATTGAGACTTTTTTTTGGCAGGTTGGCTCAAGCGTTTCATGGTTTAGTTTTAATCTGTCAAAGACCTTAAATCAGACCACATTCATTCCAATTAAACTTTGAAAAATGAGACTAGTGATTTATAATTGCCAGCCATTGAGGGACATTTAAGGAAAGCTAAATGAATTATAGTCCTCGCAGCGTATCCAGATTTATGGGCCCTTAGTTTGATTTTCACTATGTTGGGCACAGAAAGCAAGCCAAGCCCTGTCCCAAGGATGGGCAGAATCATGCCTATCAAACTTCAGATTAAGTCAGCAAAAACACTTAGAATGAACACCGAGATGTACACTAAAATAAATAACGCATATTATAAACTCTCTTCTCAGACACAGATGCTTTCCCAACACTAAAAAGGCCAACGTGGACAAGGCGGCTTCAATTCAGCAGTTAAATCTCATTATTTCAACTCCCTGCAGTAAGTTGGTGTGTAACGTTCTGGTTCCACATTACACACAAACAAATACATACAAAAATAAAAAATGACCTCTAGCTTATGTTTCTTATAACCTCTGGAAAAGGGATTTCAGACATTCAAGTCAAGAAGCTATCACAGTCGGAAATGCAGGCTCTCCTATCATTCTTTATAGGTAACCTTTCAGATCCAAACTCCTTTCACAACCGCAAGACAGTTCCCTCCAAAGCCCTCTAGTTTGAGTCTGAAGCGATCTTAGACACAAATACAAAGCGTTCTTTAAGGACAACTCTCAGCCCTGGACTATGTGAAGGAAAATCCCCTGGTTAGAGCTGCTCAGAGAGAGATGCCCTGCCATGCTACTGAATTTCCATGTATTTCTTGGGCGGAAGTATCAATTTGAATTTACACAATGCTAAATGCCAGATCATGGTCAGCTTGACTTCAGTTGGCTATCTATTAAGAAGCACAGCTGGGCACAGCATTGAGGTTTCATCCTTGGGCTTCCTGTTTTCCCTAGACCAAGGGACCCTCAGGAGGCAGTGACTTCATCCTTTGCGTTTGTACAGCACAGACAACAAGCAGTCCTGACTGGGTCTCCTGATGCCAGTTCCAAATGTTTGCAGAAAACTAAAAGCCCAGAGCCTCCCAGTGCCACAGACAGCCTAGAAAAATGCAGAAGTGAAAGACTCATACACCCTTGACCAGGTCTCTTTCCAATTCTAGAAAAAGCACAAGCAAAGAACAGCAGAAGTTACTTTCTACAGAAATACTGTTAAGTCACCAACACTATTCCACCAAGCAGCTCAAACAAAGCATCTGGATACACACTTTTTGAAAGCTTATAAGTTACATTATGTTCAATCACACACCTTCAAGGCTCCGACCTAAAGCCCTCATTTATTCATCACAATATATATACCGTAGATCAGGACAAACAGATGAGACTATTACTAGAGGGAACATCTTTTTTCCCAGACACATATAACCACTGCATCAACCAGGACAGGGTAAAAAGTATCATCTGTCCAGCTGAAGGGGATAAATCAGGCAGTCTCTGTAGGTAATTCCCTCATTCTATCCCACAACTTTATTCATCCAACATGATCTCTCCCTACTTCTTACTTTTCCATCAACTACTGCTCTAACAAATTTGAGTTTAAACTTGAGTATTGACAGCTGAACCTCTCCTAAAGGTACCCAGTGAAGTGAATTTCTTCCCACAGAACTCAATACCCCAGCGACCACTCTACAGCAAGTAAGATCAACTTCTCTCTCTGGAAACCAGCTGGAAGTCTTGTCAGTCTCTGGGTTTTCCTTCCATTATTGCTTCAGATACAGAGCCTGTTTTAACATACAGGGCAACTATGGCAAGGAAGTCATCTTCAGAGTTTAGAGAGATTTTAGCCTTTTAAATTAACTGCAAATCTCACTTATTTTGACATAACACTTCACTGTTACAAAGTCTTTGCACAAGTGAAAAAAAGGTGCAAGGTTTCTTTCGGTATGAAGACAAGCACACCTAAGCCTCCACAAGTTACTTTGATTGGTGAAACCTGGCATCCAAACCTTTTAGACACATGGGCAGTCCATCTATAACAGATTTATCTGCAGGGCATATTTCTTCTCTCTGATCAATACTTCCTCCAAATGGTAAATGTTTCCTCTTAACTGGGGAAGAGCTAACAGAAAAGTTTAAGAACAACAACTTGGTTGAGTTGTTTAACACACAGAATTCCTAAGGGTAGGAGGAAGGAGATACCTGGCTGATCAAAAAATATGTTTCGTATCTTGACTTTTCCTTTCCCTCATTTAAATCCTCCAGTTCAGGTTGCAGGATTAATGCTTTGAAGGCTTACTCATAGGGTCTCATAGAAAAAGGTCACCAGAGAAAAGAGATCTGGAGCAGGGAACAAAGCTGTCTATACATTTAGAGTAACTGCCTTAGAGTTTAATACATCACTGTACATGCTACTTAGCTCCTATAGCACTAAGTTGCCCCCTCTTTTTCTTTGGAAAGACCTCTCCACTGCAGTTAGGAGAGTAAGCTATTATACACTGATGTTTATATGATAATCTCTAGCTTGCTGCTCATACACTAGCTCTATCCTTGGCTTATCATCACTGCAGTCAGAGCTCACATCTCTCATTGAGTAGCTTAGAAATGCAAATAGATTTAAAATACCAGTTATTTAAATGCAGTGGGTAGAAAAGTGATTACTATAGCTATAAATTCACCTCAGGAGTCCTGGAATGTAATCAAGACTATATGACAACATAAGAGCATGACTGATTTCTAGTTCTGTCACCTCCTCTTGCTTACTCATTAGTTCATCCATGCGTGTATGCACAGAACAATAAGACTTGACAGGTGAAGTGATTAACACAAGGTAATGACATCCCTGGAGAATTCATGCTTATAATTCCCTGCAATTATCCCACAATAACTAATAACTCCTCTTATTTTTAGTATTTAACACACTCACAATATGGAGTAAGTGAAGACAGCTGGATAGATACACACATTTGAGGCTGAAAAAGAACAATGATGATTCTGAAATGCTAAGCAGGCACTCAGTGCAGCAACCTGAGACATTTCAGGATTAGTTCTCTGTCCCAGGACGTACATCAGCTGAAAACAGCCCCCTTGCATCAGCAAACATGAAAGAGGTCTTGTTTGTCAGATACGAGAGACTTAATATGACATTATTAGAAAGAAAAAGGCCACAAAACATAAAAACGAAGTGACAGCTACCAAGAGTAATGCATCTAGGGATTATCACCTGTATGTTGTAGAACTTGATTGGTGGTACTAATTAAGCTCAGTATCCTTCTTCAGTAAGCAATGGTGCTACTTCACAGAAATACCATCAGGTAGTTGAGCTAGCAATGTTTTAGGACAAATAATGTTTATGGTGGTATCTAACTTCATTTGGTAACATTGAAGTCCTGACAAGACAATTAGTAAGGCTTCTTTTTAAAGTGATGAATAAATGATAAATGATAAAACTGGGGAGAATTCTTTTGTATTAACTGGTATCAGCTCTCTCACAAAGTGTTCAAGATGAAAAGAACATGCGATCATTTAAAAGTAAACAAAGTTAAATTTGCAGACGTATTTATGCAACACAGCTAAGCTAACTGCATTAAAACTCCAGCATGAAAATATGAATTTAAAAAAGTCACAAGTTGTTGCATTTTGTTTCCCTTGAAAACAGTAATTAAAAAAAAGTCAAGTATTTCATTATTAAACTTGACCTTCCAGACGCCTTGGATGTTTGATTTCAACAGAAGAGATTGCTAGATCAGAGAAAAAAAAAATACGGGAGAGTGTGCATTAAGTGTGCACTCATATGGAAAGGCACATAGCCATGCTAAGCTTGCCTTAGAGACAACCAGCTATTGTGGATGATCAATACACTTCTCCCTTCCAAAACCATCTCCTATTTTGTTGAAGGGGTATTTTCAAGATTTAGCCATTTGTTTTCAATCTTTTTCAAAGTAAGAGATTTTTTTTTCCTATTACTATTGCTAAGGATTTGTTTTTTGCCACATTGCCACAGGTCAAAAAAAACCCAAAATACATAAACTTAAAAGAAAAAGGACTTGCAAATGCCTTTGTGCAAAAAACACGCAGTAAATTTCATCGTGAAAGATCAATGTTTTGGAAAGTTATGAACACGTCAAAACAGGATTTCTAACAGAAACTTCTGCAGGTGCTGAACTGCACATTTATCTTCTAGATAAATGATGAAAGTGCAAGAAAGAGGCATTTGTCAAAATGCTTGACTACAGCAATATTCTGAATTCTTAAGTACAAATCTATAGTTTTCTTCTGCATATAACCCCCCCTCCAATAAGCTCAGAAGTCACCATTTCACAAAGGCAGGAGAAAAAACCCACAAAACTTACGAGTGAAGTAAGCAAGGAGGGTTACAGGGGGTTAATTATATGCTCCAAACATGTTATGAAATATTATACAGGTACATTAACTCTACGACAATATCTGTATTAACTAACAAAGTACCTAGTCTCTACATAAGAGCCTGCAGCATGTAATAAATGAAACTTGTTAATAAAATCATGTAATAAATAATATTCATATTTGGAAACAAAGTTACCAGGCAATTTTACATTCCTTTAAACATTTAAGCCAAAAATTTGAATCAGGCACTCTCACCCACACACAATAGAAGCTTTTTTTTTCATTTATTAAGAACTTTATCACACCTATGGCTTACTAAGTGAAATTGCAGTTGCTCTGCAGTCACCTTTACTAGAACCAGGTAACCACTAGAACCACATAACAAAGCCTGCTCTCTCGTAACTATGTGCAACACATCGCAGAAGTGTTCCAGGGTCCACACGTTCCTTGAGTTCCATCCTTAAACAGTCACCTATTACAGCATCAAAAGAAACTACAGTAAATGTTGAAGCTCTGATAACCTTCCTCTGCTTTATTGCATTAAGGTGGCCCCCTAAACTCCTCTTCTCAGCTTCCAAACCAGCATCTCAGGCCTTCTGTAGCCTGGATACATCTTCACTGCCAGCATAACACATGCCCTTTCCTAAACAGTAGCTCCTCTGTTATCCACACAGAAAACTCCCTCCAGAAAGGGGTATTTGTCACAAACTCCAGCTACAAAGAGGATTTTGGGACTTACTAGAAAGGAAGCATCGACTGGCTTAATTTACTCTATCTTGACTGCTGAAGCCAGATTTTGATATCTTTCTGATTTTTTATATCTATTTTTGATATCTACAGACTACCCTACTGACTAGTCTGTATCTTCTGTGCTTCTACCCACTGGTTCTCATCTTTCTTATCCTTATCACGTGAAAAGAAAGATCATTAGCAGCAAGTCTGACAGGTCCTCATTTCCCTCAAATTAACTAGAAAGGCCAGACACTAACCACTGTGGCAAGGACAGAACTGACAGGCCCACACAAAAGTCTTTTGAGATGTGACAGTCTGCATTTCATGTTGCAATATAAAGAGGAGTAAGAAATAACATCAAAGGAAGTCTTGGCAACAGAGGGAACACATAAGCAGGGACAGGGAGGATCTGAAATAAGCTATGTGTCCCAACAGGATTCAGGATATTCCCAAGGCCGTATTTGGAGGATGTGCAGCCAAATAAATTTCTTTAGCCTTAAAAAAAAAAGAGATACTACCCTTCTATATTATTACTAAAGCCAAGGGCAGATACAGTTAAGATGGGAAAGATTTCCCTGGTGCTGAAAATCAGTCAGCGGTGGAACACTGTGCTACAGTATGTTAACGACAGAAGCTATGCAATATCCCTTCCTGTCATCCTTCCCACTCAACACGTGTGAACTGGAGTAGGTATCAACAGTCCCTCCTTCTGTGAGAGTTATTCTCAGTTTCAACACGGGGAGGAGAAAGCAAAGCCATCAGTGGCTTTATGGTACTGCCCCAAACACCCTTGCAACGGAATCACCACAGGATTACTCAAGGAAAAGCACCCCATCTAAGCTGGGAATGAAACTCCCGAAGCACCTACTTCTCAATTCACCTCCTAGACAATGGCAGCATTGTCTAGGAGTATCTTACCAGTACCTTAATGGCCCCTCAAGATACACCGAATCCTGACAGAAGGTGTTTAATGAGCGCAGATGGACAATGGCCAGAGCCTGCACTAATTCTGCAGTGAAGATGGGTCAAGCTTCTGAAATTCTTTTCATAATACTAAACATTATGAACATAAGAAAATGAAAGCAAATATTCTGAAGATTTGAGAGGTATTTGTAGACTAAGCAGCCATAAATTAACTTCTACTAGCATTCAAAAAGTAAAAGCTAAAAGATACCTCAATGGTTTTGAGCAATGCTTGTGTCTTTGCTGTTTAAGCAACAAATAACTGTAATACATATTTCTCCATTTTTTTTTTCCAACCCTGGAGGATCAAACAGATAGCATGCAACATACGAAACAGAATCAGAAGTGGAAGCATGCCATATTGTCTTCACTGATACCTCTAATGACAGCCATAATACTCTCTAGTGTACATTTTCCTTTGACATTTAGGTATCCTAACCATCAGTATTTTCACCACTTCTCATGGGGATACTATGCCTAGCCTAGTAGGTCTCACTGTACAAACACAACTTTATCTTCGACTCAGTTTTCCGCTTTGCTTAGTTCTTTTCCATTATGCCTGTTGGTTCTGGTCAGAAGGCCATGAGTATCTGTCGGTGGACAGACTGACTTGCTTCAGGATGACTCCACAACCAGAACCTCAATCCATTCTGGACAAGGTTTCTTACACACACCTCCTTTACATGGTTGAAGTTTGACCTTACAGTCATACTGTTGGGTCTTATGTTCTTCACATCTTTCATCAGAAACCATGACCACCAAGAAAGCTTGTCCTTCTGCTGTTTTCACAATCATTTTTCTAGGTTTCTGGGTATTTCTGGTATTACAGTTTATGCATTGCATAACACTATAAATGGTAAGTCCCAAACCATGAATGACCATGTGATTATGGAACCCGCTCTCATTCACAGAGGCATTCATTTTGAGACAAAGAAAAAAGCACAGAATATTCACTCTTATGACACAGCATTATTCATGGTATTTGATACACTAAAAGAAAAATATTTGAGAGTGACAACAAATTTCACTCCTTCCCAGTCTTTCAGTTTTCTCATGGTAGCAAAAAAAAAAAATCTTGTTTCAAAAATTTGATGTAAATTTACAGTGGGGAACCTCTACCCTCAAGTTCCCTTCTTCCCACATGCTTCACCAGTGTGAGACAAAAAAAGACAAGCGATTAAAAATTGAAGCTGTCTCATGTAAAGAGATTAGTTTTCCTTGAAACCCGCATGCCCTCTGCCCGAGATTTCCCCAAACACGCCTTGCCTTTTTCTTTGCAGAGATAATGCCAGGCTAACACATCACTTAAAGAGAAATGACCTGATAGCAAGCAGCAGACTACACCTCACCCATTGAAACAAAGCAAGTTACCTCTCGTTTGTTTCTCCTGGCAACTTTGAGAAATTCCATAAGGATCTGCAATTGGGCAGCATGGGACTCCTGTAACACAGTAAATAAGGAAATGTAACTCTTCCATATACATTAAGAGAAACAAATACTCATTTTATACACAGAAGTCCACACTTAGCACAGAAATAGCTCTCATTTAGACTTGAGGAAGAGAAAATAGCTTATTAAGGCAGTTTTAAGAATGGTAGTTTTACTTTGCCTCACAGGTTTTAGGGTTTTGTTTGGCTCAAGACAAGTTTTTACATGAAGGCAGAAATTGTTCTAACAGCTCTTGTTTGTGCGTTACTGAAGACTTACTAATAAGTTGAAATGCTTTTCAGTTTTTTTGGCTACTGCATCTGAAATTGTTTTTGGAATACAGGTTCTTCACAGACTCATCTTCTACCCTGGAAGATCATTAGCACACACTTTGTGATTAACATACTAAAGCACGCAATATTTCTATAAAAAACACCTCCCTCCAAAATTAAGATTGGTGATTATGTGAAGAGATCACTGCTGAAGATTTCTCCAGAATGGAAGACAAAACCACTGATGAAGCAAAAACATACCTTTCTAATCTTTCCATAACAGGCCATTTACCTCAACCATCAGCATAATATTTTCACCCAAATTGGCCAAAAATTTGACAGGGCAAGAGAAGCAGAAGAAGAAAGCAAAATAAAACCTATATTCCAGCATTAATATAGCCCTAATCCTATCCCAGCATTCTGAGGCTTATTTTCGCAACCTAACAAAATATTTATTATTAAAGACTGCGAACATACACTCAAAAAGGATCAAGATATAGGAACACGCAGAATCCATTAAAGGTAGATGGGACAGGAAAAGTAAAGATATTAGGGTGCAAGACTACTGCTTTTCTGAGATTATTTTCTTCCTCCTCACCCCTGTGACTATAAGGGAAGTGAAGCAAGCAAAACTCGAAAAAATGTTTTAAAATTGTTCTTTAAGTGTCAGGTGTGTTTTGGGCTTGTTTTTTTTTAAGGCTTAGTATCCTTAAAAGATATTCCTGCTCAGAAGCACCCATACACTCAATCCTGTGCTGCCTTTGTCACAGATGCATCACAAACACCACAAAAAGGCTTGAGAAAAGAAAGAGATTTTATTCTGAAGTTAGAAACCACACTCTCAGCACATCACTGAACCACAATAAAAAAAAAGTTATGTACAAGTCCCCACACAATAAATAACATAAATTTTGCTAGTAGTCAGTAAACATATTTTTGGGTTACCTTCCTCCCCTAAGAACCACAAGTTGTGTAAATATTGATTCTGCAAGAGTAAGATAAGCCATTCCCTAATGCAGCTTTTCCTCACGTGTTTTAAAGCACCATCGAAATCCACCCTCCCACCCAAAGTTCACTAGACCAAATTTTGTAATCCTGTTTAATTTAGAAGGTCTAGCTCTCCTAACTGGAAAATGGTCACTTGAGACCAACAGCATGGAATGGACAAATACATGAGAACTATCCCAAACCAACCACATTTCAGTTAAATCCTAGGAACAGCTTACTTCATATTATATAAATCTTCAAACCAACCTCAAACAAGACATCTGAACTTTTCTTTCAAGCATTAAATGCTAAAAGAAGTCTTCAGGGATGGCAGTCATTCAGGTTCTATCAGTTGCAGTAGACACTAAAAGGTGTGATTTTTTCACATGTTTATTGAGTTTATTCCTTAACCTGTATTTTGGACTTCATGCTTATTACCAAGAAAAATCTGGTATTTACTTGTGCAACAATTAGCAAACATCTTCATATGCATTTCTCTGGTCCACTATCCACTTTTTCTTATCCTTCTCCCTGATCATTTATACAACCCTGCCAGTAGCAAAACTATAGGCATGTTATGGGCATCACAGTTGACATGTTAGTTTGCTACAAAGGTCAGCGAGGTGGCCAGCTTTTCAACACCAAAATGCAAGATAAAATTCTGAGCAATTTGGCAATAGAATCTTACTTCAAGAAAATAAAAGCATGAGAAGAAAAAAAACCTGTGTTCATTAAATAAGACAAGAGAAACTTCTTACTGCTTCCAACTGTTTCTTCTTTTGCACCAGCAGCTCCAGCATCAGGTTGACATTGGCCAAGTCAAGATTGTCTTGATCAGTTCCCAGCAAATCTTGAATTATCTGCCACCTATGGCCATTCTAGAAAAACAAGAGATGTTGGAGAGACAGTGAATTCAAGCCATCCAGAGCTATATCCAGCAACAGCTATTAAAAGCGACAATGCAGTATTTCATCCCTTTGTAAAAATTTCAAAACGATTTTCGGGAATCCGAATTCCCAGTCCTCCCACATGTACAGGATATAGCTCTTCTGTCCTACTGTGTAGCTGCTTATCTTATTTGGAAGACATTTGCACTTTATGAGAACATAGCTGCTAGGAAGAGATTATTTCACAGCCACAATTTTATCTTACTTGTGCCCTAGTTTGTGAAAACTCATTTCTAAGAGGAGAAAGAAAAAAACATGTTTATCCAAGCTTAGTTGGATTACATCTATCTGAAATACTGTTAAGTGGCAATACCTTTTAATTTTTTTAACCAAGTAATAGGTAAAGCCTTCATGCCAAATTCAAAGGGAAGAAGGTAGTATCAGCTTATTTTTTCTATTCTCACCTCCCACACTACTCCTCTTAAGAGTATTTTCATGAGAAATGTAAGAGCAGAAAAGAAGATGGATCTCGTCAGGGTGATCTTCTCATTCAACCTGTCAGAGCTGAGAAGGACTCCTCAGAGACCCAGCATACTACCATGCAACCCATTCTTCCCTGAAGGCTGTTTGCGCTCTTCTCATTACCAGTAAAAAAAAAAAACACAAAACCAACTTATCTTTTAGCACAGGAAAACCTGAGTAATAGGTTAATACTAACATAGCCTTACATTAAAGGAGCAGCTGAAAGGTCTTTAGGCTGTCTGAGAAACAAAGTTGGAGTAAAAAAATCCTGCCTTATAAAATCTATGACACTAGATCAAGATATTTAAATTTGCTAGAACTAGAAATACCATCCAGTCTAAACGAGACATTTTCTAAGGGGTTGTAGCCTATTTGTATTGGCTAGATTAAGAAAAAAAAAAAAGATGTAACATCCATACAGAGCACACAACTTTTTACACAACTCTCAACAGAACCTGTGGAAACCACACAGGCAAAAACCTCAATTTCAATCTGGAACAATTAGAAAAAAATACAATTTTTAAGCAAGTCAACAAGATTTGAAATAAACTTTAACATACTAACGTTAGTTAATACTCCAATACTAGTTAAATGTACAACTGCTAAACTACTCAAAGCTTCAAAGACGCCTTAACATGACTTCTTAAAGAGACAGGTCCATGACCAAGAAACAGCACATTTGCTGCAATGTGTTTTGAATGACTGCTCTTAATACCAGAAGTAACACAAAAGGGCAAGAAGCACATTAAGGAGCTGATACAACAGCAAGGTTTCTCCTTTTAGAGACATCAGTATTTTTTATTTGCTGCCAAAAGGTAGCCACAACACTGTTTTGGGCATGAATTCATGGTAGATTTCCACTTACTGGTAGTTATCTAACATAAGTGCATCTCTGGGCATAGTTTTTAAGAGTGCACTATGAGAAAGAGTAAACCAATTTCCAAGAAGTTACTGTATATGCCCTAGGATCAGTTGTGTGCATTTTAAACCAGATATGGTTTATGCATATTTTATATTGTATATGGTATATGCATATTTGATATTGAATATAAAAAACTTACTGTGAGTAAACCAATGAATCCTTCAAGTGTGCTCTGTCCTAAAGTATACAACTGCTGAAAGCACTGGTTTCTGCAATGCAGCCCCTAAATTAGTAACACTTCAACAGAGGATTTTTAACTGACAAAAACCAGGGGCTCCATGATTTTTAATATTACTTTGCAACCTTATTTATGAATTATAGAAGCCAAGGAAGGAAGCCAGACATAGCAAGACAAATATGCCAGTTTCCTGGTTAATGTCATATACTCTTTTTGATCTTAAGGTACAAGAGCATCCACTGCTGCTGTACAAGGGTTTTCATGAACTAAGAACAGAGATCATGCTCTGATTCTGTGACATGAAGGAAGTCTAGAAGATATCCAGGCAGTTTTATCTGGGATCAGAGACAGAACACCAGTACTCTGAATGCATCCTTCTCCCTCTTGTGGTTGGTATTAGCTTTCCTCCAATATCCTCATAGAACGCAGCTTCTCGCACGTGATCAGACAGGCCTGTGGCACTTCTAATCATCCATTACTCTCATTGTAGCTGTAATTTCCAACACCGAATGAAAATTATTACCTTTAAACAAGTGTGCTTTCATGGGTAGTTTCCCAGGTTATACTCAATACATCATATGACACTTAGCTATGCTAAAACAGCTTGCCTCTACATGTATATTGCTGTCAGGAAGAATGAGCGTTAACAAGGTTGAAGGGATCTAATGCCACTGATATTAGTATTATTCCCTCATAAAGCAAGTTAAAGCATCAGCTCAACAGTATTTCTTCTGAATTAAGCCACATAATGATGCAATTGCAATACAAAACCATTAAATAAATATAAAGTAAGAAAGTTGGAACATACGGTGCTACTCACTGAATGGTCCAGTTTGAGTCTTTTCTCCTCAGATCTCTGCTTTTGTTTAAGAATAAGTTCATTGACTAAAAAACAAATAATCAGGATGTCAGAGAAGAGATGGATTTAAAGTTCACCAAAAAAAATGAACAGCTCTACCTCAATATTTAGTTATTAATTCCACAGTAAGTTTATCAGTAATTAAAACAGTAGATGTCAATTTTTTTCTCACCAATTTATTCCTTGACTGTTTTTGTAAGGTATATAAAGGTGGGTTGGGTTTTTTTTTTTGAAAGTCATCAAGAAATACAACGCCTATACATTCCCCAAATTGCTTCAGTTCCTTTTTCTGAGTACCTATGGTTCTTTGACAAAGTTTTTCAATTCCAAGGCAGAAGTACGTCACAGAATAGTAAGGAGATAAAACATTAACTGATTTACTACAGGCTGAAAACAAGCGCAGGCAAACAGAACAATTTTTTCCTTTAATCACTGTGCACATTTTTAAAGACATATTTTTGCTACTGTGTTATTTCACGCTAATCTAGTGAGTGGTGCAGAGACAGAAGGATAACCTCAACACTTCACACACACGTATACAAGCTCTTTCCCCTCCCCAGGTCTGTTTTTGCCCCCCAATACAGATCTCAAAGCCCTGAATGTAGGTGCATGGAAGCAACGCTCTATGGCCTAATACATCTTCCAAGACCTGCCTCAGCACCACCTCCAGCACAACATGCTTGGGTGTGAAGCGGGATGCCTGTCTGAAGCACTCCTTGGCTACTATGACTTTTAATCTATTCACTATTAAACGGATATCCCAGCACATGAAATCAAGATTTGATTTAATTTTGATACTTCACACCGCAATGTGTTTCCTTTGATCTTTTCTCCCCATAAAAGTTTTAAACTCTATTTTCAATTAGGAACATTTCCCTCCTCTGTTTAAGAAGCAATCAATTAGGATTGTGTATATGGATGTGTATGAATATTTTCTCCACTCTAATTTACACATACATACATCACATGGACCTCACGACAGTACCCAAAATAGTACAACCTTGCCTCCTTCAGTGTCCATGCTTTGTAAACAGGGCATGTTCTTGATTATTAGACAGACAACAATGCAAGAACACAAAAGTAAATAAAGAGATTCAAATCTCTAGTCACCAAAAAAAGGTCTTCATTTTGCTTCTCTTGGTATGCAAGCAGCAGCAAGTTAGTCTGACTACTGGAACTCAGCATACAGTACTGCTGGACGCAGCGGAGTATCAATGAATTACACTACTAACCACCTTTTTTTTTTTTTTAATAAAAATCACAGTTGACCAAAAGGCTGAAGTTTGGATTTTATTTTCAATATATTATTTATAGGACAAATATACAAGTGCCTTGCTTCCATAACAAATAAGATGTTTCTCATGCAAGCAAGTCCAGAGCTCACCTAGGAAGTTGGGATAAAGATGATCTATGTTGTCCACAACATAGTTGCATTTGGGACATCTGTTATTATCCTCCAAGCTCTGGTGAATACACTTATAGCTGTTTAAAAACATAAAAACCAAGAAACAAAACAAGTGAGCAAACATGAAAGAACAAAACATAAGCACAAGGTAAATAATACCTTGCACATTAGATAATGTATATTCTATTTGTGTTGCTAGCTAACAGCTGCATTGCCAAGATCCTACAGTGGAGTCAAAATGTTCCAATATTAATTCAGAGCGTGAAAAAGACAGCAAAGTTTCTTGGCAAAAATTACAAAAGTATTTAAGTACTTTAGTCCTATTTCCCCAAGGATTGTGGGAACACTGATACTTCAGCAACACTTCAATCTCAAATTCATGCCCTCCCTTCCACAGGCAGAGCTAACAGACTGCATTATTCAGAAGCAACTCTTCTAGGTTAGCCAAATACTCAGCAAGCAACATTAAAAGCTATTCACACATTTTGAGTAATTGAGCATAGAGGGAACACCTTCACTAATTTCTCACATTTCCCCCACCCCCTCGGCTGTTGGTCTCACCAGAAGGCACTTCAGAGGTGCTCTCTGTTGAGCTTTTAGCTATTTCAGGGACAGAGTAACTACAAGATGCACTTCAGCATCAAGTTTAAGCATCTCACTAAGACCTAGCTTTACATCAACTGCTGGTAGAGACATCATGTGACAACATTGTTCTGTTCTTCCTAAATAAAAATATTTGAATGCCTCTCATCTTGGACTTTTAAAAGTTACAGATCACAGGGATAAAGTGTTACCATAGAGGGAACAAAATCAGCTGTTATCTTACCTGGTCCAGGTCAAAACATTTCTGAAAGTTAACTGAATCTTCTGCTTAAGGAAGTGTTTTATGCTACTAAAAAAATATTACTTCTTGTAAAAGGTAGGTGATTTATTTCTAGTTAACAGGCACCATAAGAGCAAAGTGTACACAGGACATTAAAACATCGTGGTTCAATGTTTATTCCAATCCCTAGCTGAGAGCAGGAGCAGCAGACAGTTCCACACCTGCCCCTGGAAGGTTCTTGAACTTCACAAAACATTTGCTCCTCCTGACAGCCAGAGATAACACACTGAAAAATAAGTGGACCTTGGGCCAATTCAGTACAACAGACACAAGCCTGAAGCATATCTTCACTCAAAAAATTTAAGAAAATTGCAAGTTGCACATTAGACAATGTGCAAATTACTTCAAACTGTACATGGTCTTGCACAAAGTCAGGGAGGACCTCCCAACACCAACACTCACTCCCATGACCTCTGCTGAGGCAGGACCCACTGCTTTGGGTGATAATAGACACCTTCCATTTCCAACAGAGCTGACAAACTGTTCCAACTCTGGGTACTGAATGTTACCAGAAGTTTATGGCTATTTTATTTCTTTACAGAGGAAATACGGTGGCACAACATTCTTTGTTTTAAACACTAAGACAACTTTTTTTTTTTTTTACTGTTGCCCATCTTTTAAATTTTTATTTCAACCTCTTTCTTCAGTGCAGGGACAGAAGACAGAAAAGCAACAAAAATTCAGAAGGAAAGGACTTCACAGTAACACCAGTCAACACGTTTTAAGAGATGGACATTTTGCACAACGCAAAAAAAAAAATCTTACCAGAAGCTGTGTCCACATTTCGTCATGTAGGCTTCTTCAATCATATCAAAACAGATGGGGCTGAAAACAAAACAAAAAATCTCACAAATATGTCATTTTTATGTTAAAAAAGGAAAGAAAGTATTATTAATTCAAAGCAGCCACTAATCAAACTTCGGTAATATTTTCTGTGTGTAAAATGACAGAGGACACACAAGTGCAACAGCAACCAGGGAATATAAAGATCAAAAGGGCAATCAACAGTTCTTTGAACTCAGAGTGTTACTGCAGTTTGTGACAGTTAGAAACCAAGTAAGCTCCTGAAGCTTTCAACAGTTGCAAACCACCCAAAGCCAAAGTGCTTTCAACAAGGAAGGCTGCAGAAGAACCTCCTAACCATCTGTAGTAGGTCTCAAACAGAGTGTAAAAACCCTGTTTCTTACATGAACAGACATAAGGTATTTATAAATGACACCAAAATTAGTTTATCCTTCCTTTTTTCAGCCAACAGCTATCTGTAATTTTAAAAAAATGATGCAAAGAGGCAGAGCAGAACAGAAATAGCAACGATGTCATGAGAACAACAATTAATAAGTTGGAGGAGAAGGTGCGGAAGAGGGGGTGTGCCCGCAGAGCACTGCCAGGCAGCAGGCAGGGCTGAGGCTGCTGAAGAGCACGATGAAGGTACAGTGCAATCAAAAGAAGGAACCAAAAGTCAAGCACAGTGTTACAAAGTCAAAGGAGTAGATGGTAAAGGGAGAATATGGGACTGTGCAGAAGGAAGACAGAGGAATCCAGATGGAAACAAGGGCTTTAGTTTTTTTCCACGGCTAGTCAGTGACCAAAGCACAGCCAGTTCTCTGGGAGGGATCACCAAGGACCAAGCAGGGACCTGAAGAGAAGGATGTACAAGCAGTGTTCCACAGGAACCTGAACAAGACAAGAGACACAGGAATTCAGTGAGTTGGGTACTGGAAGAAATCTGTCTCATCAAGTGGCTGTGACAGGTTTGAAAGGAAAATGAAACACAAATGAAAGTAGGAGAGATGCATCTTACTTCCAGTGACTCCTACAGCTGCTACCCCTGATAGCTGGTAAGATACGCTGTCACACACTCATCTTCAGGTCTTGGCCAACAATCTAGTGCGATGCTGCAGACAGCAACTTCACAATTCTCCACATAACACATGTATCAGCTGTGTCACAAGCTTCACCTTGCTTTCAAGCCCTTAGAGAACCAAATACTCCCACAAGTACACACTGATCTCAGTTCGGAGCGGTTTTCACCAGCATTTGTTTTCTTCAGAAACAGCCTCCTCCCACCTTCTGCCAACACGGCAGTTCCCACAGAATGAGCTGTTAATAAACTGTTAACAACTTTTCACAAGCATGAATCTTCTTGAATCCAAGATCAAAACCTCAGTCTTAGACTGAAACCAAGGCAATGCTTGGCTGAGCAGGGGAGGGGAACACCTCAATTTCACCCCTTTGGTCCGAAAGGACCATCATTAGCGCTCCACAGAAGTCATTCCTCCTTTCTGTCATCAACTTTAGAGGATACTAACATTTGTTACCCCATTAGGCATTTAAAACTAGAAAGGAGGAAACCCCTCTTAAATAAATACTTTTTTTAAAGCCCATAGAGGAGAAGCTGTGTTTTTTGCCAATGCAATCCCCCTCCGAATGACCAAACTGGAAAACATGGATGCCTTAAAAGGCTTATCCAACCTCAGATACAAACGAGGTTGTCTTAAATAGTCCATGAAATCATTTATATAAACACAACGTGAAGGCAAACAAACCAAACCAGAATGCTACTCTCTGAACAAACTGAGCCACCAATTCTGTTCCTCAAAAGAAGCCCCAGAAATAATTAAGAAGCACCTGCCCCTCTTCCGCCCTGACAAACGCTTTTCCACACATCATTTGTCTGAGTGGCACCAACTTCATGAGTTCAGGTAACTGCTTCTGAGTTCAAAGTTATTTAGTTTCAAGGCACTGTTTAGTCAGAATAAATTACAACCAAACTTCGCCAACAAAGGGTGGATTAATAAGAGGAGGATTAGGCATCTTTGTGTGCTATTAGCTGGCCTTTAAAAAAGAAGCCAAAGACTTATGGTTATGAGTGTCTGAGGCTGGTTTCTTCCCACTGGTAATGAACAGCTTAACTTCTTCGCTGCCTTCTAGTCATGCTGTATATCCCACTCTATTGTGCTAAAAACTGCTATTCCCCACAGGGCCAGGCGTGTTTTTTCCAGCACACTCTTTAATGCCCTGCCTCCAAAAAGTGCAGCAATCAACAAGGCTGGAATGCTCCTCTGTCTGTAATAGGACATCACAAACTAGAGGAAGATTACCTCCTAACACAACAGCCACCCAAGACTACTGCTCCCAAACTTATTCTTCTTCATACCAGTTTGACTGGAAAAAATGATAGAGCCAAAATAGTAGAGAAAAAGCAATCAGAGTCAGCAACCGTGGCCATTCAGTGCAGGGTCATCGTTAACAGAGCCTGAAGTTTCCATTGAAAACTGTTTCCCCTGAAATGCTCCCCAATTTACAAGTGGAAACAAGACTGATGTCTTTTAATAATTTCCGAAGCCAAGCCAGCTGTCACACATGAAACTTGCTATGCACCAGTTCTTTTAAGTTAGTCTAACAAAGAGGGAAGGTTAAGAAAGTAATAAAGAGGAGTGATAGGGAATTGAGACATACTACAGCTTGTAGTATATGCCAAAATTAAGAAGCATGGGTATGGTGAAATCAAGGCTTCTCTGCATGAGACAGCTCTTATTGTCTACTTGTCTTAAGCAGAGCCAGGTAAAAAGGATGCAAATTACTTCAGCAAGCCAAAAACATTACTGTTCTTCACCAGATACTGATGTCTTATTTACTAAAGAGTTATTTATCCAAACCTGCAAAGGTTTACCATTCTTTCTCAATGGGCTAGACCACAAACATTTATTTTTAACCATTTTAAGAAAGTTCATGCCTCTAAGTTTTGCCAGCTGTTTTCAAGACACCCCTGGAGAGTACTACTGTCACCTTGCTGCTACCCAAACACCTGGCTAAAGTGTTCACTATAAAATTTAAACATGTTTGTGGAGCAGGAGGAAATCTGAAACAAGACCCACTACAATTTCTCCCTCCTATCCTGCTCCTCTTTGGTCTAAGCAGAGAGCAGGACTGGCTACAGGCTCTGCCCTTCACTCGGAAGGTGGCCAGGTTAAAGATCACTTGCCATTATTATCTATTCAATACGAAGCTCCAATATAACAATAGATTATAAAACCATAATTTTACATGGTATGTAAGCAGCTCGCTGTGTTTTTTGTTTGTGGCCTCCAGGGTCAATCTGCTGTACTCCTTACTAAAGGGGTTTGCCAGATCACACACACGTGAATAACTACACTCAGCCCATGGACCACCTAAGGAAAGAACGTTTTTTAAAAAACCCGTGAACCTGCAAGTCCATCTTTAAACATGGCACACAGCCCTTCCCATGCTTGAGTTTGTTGGGTGTGCCCCTCCAGGTCAGTATGCAGCATCCCCGCTTCCATACGTACTTAATTCTGCCAGAGCTCAGAAACACACACTGGTGTGAAGCAGCCGCTGAAGAGATAGCCAACAGCGAGATCCCCTCCATCACGGGAGCAAAGCATATAGTAACTGGTTTTAAAGAGGTTTAGTCAACCACTAATTGGGAGAGCTAATGTAAGACCTGGGAAAACCATAAGCAATTACATTATTACATTGCTGGACAGGAGAAAATCTTCTGATTAGAGGATTCCCTTTCAGATGCTTTTCAGGCAAGGGGAAAGAAGCCTGGCTACAGGAACAGCACAACTATCTTTAAATTCTACATCCTGCACTGAAGGAAACAAAAAGTTGCCCCTTTTAAAATAAAGTTGTCCAGTAAGTCAGATCTGTTTGCTTTCCTGACTTGAGTTACACATTTCCAGGCAGAAGCTGATAGATACCACAAACAGTACACATTTGCAAACTCCTGAGCTGAAGTGGTCACTATAAAATTTAAACATGCTTCAGATTTCCTTCTGGTCCGCAGCAAACAAGACCCATTGCAATTTCTCCCTTCTATTCTGCTTGCTAAACGTTTCACACCCAGACTAGCAAGGTATGCCAAGCGTTTGTGGTAAAGCTTAAGCCTCACGTTGCTGAGACAGCATTTTCAGAAGACAGGCAGGGAGGTTGCACACATTAATACTATGTACACGATTTCCACTTGCACCTTGATGTTTGAAACTCACCTAAACTTCACTCTTCCCCACTTTCAGTCTGGTATAGGCAGAATCTACCACTGAGTTTACAGCTGTAGCTAACAGCAACACAGCCTATGTTCAGAAAAAACCACACCGAGATATCCATAGGTTGTTTAAATCAACTATTTAAACCTGCACACACACACACACACACACCCACCTGTCTTGGACATTGCTCAAAATTCCACAGTTGCCCAGTTGAGTTTATTTCTGTACTGTATTGCTAACTCAAAAAAAAGGGATACTATAATTTGAAGCTAGTGTTAAAAAGCAAGAACAAGCCCTACAGCAGACAGAAATATACAGCAGTGAAGAACCCAAGTTAACTATAGTCTGCTCCTAAATCTTCTAACCTGCCCTTCAATATGCCCAGTATGGCTCTTGTAAGTACCAAGAAAAGGGGGACAAGAAAAGACATTTTGCCCCAACTGCTACTCAGTTGATTTTTTTCCTCTCACTTGGTCAGCCAGCGGCACTCCTCAATGAGGAGAAAACAGCTCATTACATGTTCTCCTTGAAGCATTGCACAGTACTTACCTGCAGGAAAAAAAGAAAAGAACCAAGAAACTCTGCTTTTTGCATGGTCTTAAAATACTTCAACTAGCCTACAAACTTGTGTAATTTCCCTTCAAACACCCTCATTTCTATGACAGACAGTAAAACGTGACATGACAGCTGACTAGAAAGGGATGGGGAGCGATGGTTGCAGACCACTACCGCCAGAGTCTAACTGTAGAGGGGACAAAGGGGCACAGGCATTTGCAATCACATTTTCCCCAATGACCAGAAAACATGAGAGCAACAGCAACACAGCCATCTCCCACACCAAGTGCCCTTAAATCTACCTAAAAAGGCCTAGAGCATTCAGCCAGAGCAGGACATCAGCTAGTTACAGCTGTCCCTTTATCCCAATTCTGCTACTGAGCAAACCACTACCTACAGTAATAAGCAGTGATTTTTGATTATTACTTATTACTAGTAAGAAGTACTTACTGTTTCTTCTGCCACTAACTTCTTAGCAGCTTCAGGTTCTCACTTCAGCAGCAAGGATATTTCCTATCTACTCTGCTAGACAGTTTACAAAAGCTGCAATACCAAGTCTAGAGCTTTTTGAGACAATGCCTGTCCCATGGAGATGCCAAACATCCAACCCTCACCTGTTAGAGCTCTCAGACAAAGTCACATTGGAAGTTGTGGCCCATTTATCTTCCTCCTTTTTTCTTTAACTGTTTCTTCCCCATACATGACTTTCCTACCACTCAAACTTCCTTCCAGTACCTCTTCACTGTTTGCCCCTCTCAGATGCAAACACTTACCTCTATTTTCTGTTCTCACATTTTAATACAACCAACCAGCTATAAAAATCAAACCTACTCCTTATGTTAGTTGGTTTGAAACCCATTACCAATGGGCTCTCAAAACTGCATATTACCAACAGCTCTCAAACCCCACATTGCAGTGGGCCTTGGTCTACCACTTCTGCTGAAAGGGTATTTCCAGCTACAGGCTGGAGCTTTGGCTGAACATTAGAAGGACAGCATCTGAACGACTTCAAGAAAAATCTTTATCCCATCATCACAGAAATTTCCCACTCATCTGGTTTTAGGTGTCAGGCTAACACAACTATTATTGCTGTTTCAAACTAGCCAATCTATCCCAGCAACAGAGGCAGGCTTTGCTGGATCTGTCGACCACCATGAGACTCCTTGGATTCCCATCCACAAAATCCTCCGCTGGCTCCTCTTCTGGACGTCGGAGCGGGAGAGCGCGGGGGCTCCAGAGGGGCCATCTCACCCCCTGGAGACCAGAGCCCCTCGGGCCCCTGCCCAGGCCAACAGCACCTTTTCTTGCTATGTCAACACATCATGAGGAAACACCTCGGGTTGCGGATCCTTCCCGATAAGTTGGGCTGCTCCAAAGCGTACCCAAGGAGGAACCTGCTGGGAATAACCCGATTTTCCTTAAAAACAGAGAGGGTGAAAGCAACGCTGCTACACAGGGCCAAAAAGCAAACAGACAGCCACAAAACAGGGGGGGAACCCCAAAACCATAACCC